GGGGGGATGCACCAATGCTGATGCCAGTTTGGGTCCAACACTACTGAAAATCAATCAGCTACACATTTAAATAGCCATGGTGACAGAGCCGTTTGTCTCAACTAGTCTGCACAGCCTCCTGTTCCACAAGATATTCCATTTATCCAAGTGGACATGTCAAATTAAGCCATCTCTCTAATCACAACACTTTATAGGGAAACCAGTCCAACATCTATTTCGACTTGTCTGAAAGTGGTATTGGTGCAGCCCTAGTCAATCTAATTTAGTCTCATACACCACCACCACCTTAAACTATAACCTCAACCATAAGCTACACATTTAGGACCATTGCACCAAAACCTGAAACCAACTTGAACATGTCAGGGTGCAAATGTTGCATACAATTCTACCTAATCAAGTGGCCAGTGATTGAGCAAAAACTGTTCCACCCAGTAAAAGTGCAGCAACTTATTTACATTTATTTTTGATAAATAGAATCTTTAATAGACTATGCAAAGTATCTCTAACAGTGCTGTCACCATTCCTACTGATCATGCAACTGATTTTCCTGTAGCCTACTAGACAGGATGGAGTGGATTATCAGCATTTCAAACTCTGTATTTTAGTGCAGTACACCACTACCTTTCACCATTACCACAACCATGAACTACTCAAAACAATGTCACTAAAAACTGAAACAACCTTCATAAACAAATGTTAAAGCACAAGTGCTGCATTGAATTACATGGTGTACCTCATAAAGTCGCACTGAACGTGTACCATGAAGAGGACGTTATGCTTCCACCCAGTACTGTACCTCTGCATCAGCCCAGTCCTTTTCATTGAGGTTGAACTTTTAACAGTAGTCATCACGCTGGGACCATCCCTTAGGGCATCTCTTACCTACACAACAGCCTGGTGTGAAAGGGGGCAGGGAGAAATTAAGCCATTTTGACATTTCTGAGTGCAAGTGGAGAAACACAGGTGTTACTGATGACATAAAATAATGACTGCATTTATAGGTAGTTCCAGGGTCCTGGTATTGTGACCGTTGGCTCACTGTTGGTCACACTGTTACCTCTTACTGGAAATATTCAGCCATTGTGTGAATTTTATTGAAAATGCACCCAGCTTTGTGAACATCAACTGTACTGACTTGACAAAAACAATACAAATACTAGGATGTTTCCTGTAGTTCTTGCAGTGTAGCTTTCAGAGAAAAGGCAAAAAGAGTAAAAGTTACTCAAACTCCACTGTAACATTAACTTGAATGTTGGTGACTGAGGGGCTGGGCTGTTAAACAAAAAGAGCCACAGGTAGATTCTCCAAAAAGCAGGTTTCATTTATCCAAAATGGGGGTAAAAAAAGAGGTCAACTAAACAGAACTAGTCTCAGGCATTATTTTTATCATATCAGTTTTTATCATTCTAAAAACTACATGTTGTGTTACGTTTGTTCTCATCTCCTCAAGAATATAAAAGCTGAACAGGGCAGTACTTTCCCATCGCTTGTCTATACCTCAGCTTCAGACTCTATTTAAAACAGGTGATGTCTATAGGTGACTACATCATGATCTGGTACAAAAGTAGCATCTAGGAAAGGTCGAGGCCTTTAGGAGCAAAGATGTTCCAAGGACCACCAGTTTGCCAGCATACAGTATGTGTGAGAAAATCATTGAAATGTTTAAAAACTATGCTCCTCAAAGAACAAAAGGAAGGGATTTGGATATGTCACCCTCTACGGTGATTAAAACATTCAAGGAACCTGGAGGGATTTCAGCGTGTAAAGGGCACAAGCCTCACCTGGATGACCAAGCTCTCTGATCCCTCAGATGGCACTATGTATTGTAGTGTCTGACACAGGTGTGCCAAGGTTTCCTGAGCCCATGTGGTTATATAACTTATGGAAGAGTGACAATGTTTGATGCAGTTACATCCATAAATGCAATGTAAAAATTCAATGCAACACAGATGATTCACACACACCACTAGTTCAGCTTAAACTCCAGGACACAGCAGACAGCCTCTCACTCTTTTTCTATGCTCACTGATCCTCGTCTCTCTCTCTGTCCTTATTTAATCTCATCTCCCTCCCTGGGAGATGTCAGACTGTCTCATACTGACTTTTTATCCTCCTCCTGCTGCTGCTGTCAGTCAGTGTGTTTGTGTGAGAGAGAGACTGAGACCATGTGTCCACTCAGTATTCATCTCAACAGGATCTCTTAAACTCTAACAGTGGGAAAAGCTCCATCCGTCCACAGAGAAACAGGTGCTGTCACACCTCTGAATTGTTGTTCCATTTCATCCTTTCTCTTTTCATCTCTCTCTTTCAAAGTAGAAATGTGTGAGGAAGGCTGTTATTGAACAGGAGTAAAGTGCTCAGTCGCCTTCTCCCTCAGGTAATGCTGAAGTCATCAAGTCTGCTGTCGTGGCTAAAATGTGATACAGACTAAATTAATTCAGACAAATCATCCCAATTTAAATAATCATTTAACATTACAATTATTCTGAACAGGGTAATAGTTAAATAGATAATCTGATAGTTATAGAACAGAGAACAGAATCACTCCATCGGCAGTGGAATAGATACAATATTCAATAAGGAGATTGTCACAGTCAGTCAGTCACTGTGACCACAGGGTACCGTCAGTCAAAGTCCAGAGTCAGGTCGTCCTCTCCCGACCAGGATCTGCCTGTTCGTCTATCCTTCCGAATGCTCTTCCCTGACCAACTCTGCTGCTCACTTTATTCACATCTCTCGCTTCTTATCATTGCTTCCCCAATTGCATCAACCCTTAAACTTTCCTTTTTAGGAGATGTTAGATGCCAGATGCTTTGAATAGCTGGGAGTCAGGAACACCCTCTTGAGAGCAGCACATGCACTTCTGGAAACACACAAGGTCAGTGCCTTGGAGGCTGTTACACAACCACTTTCTTTAACTCACAATATATCCCTGTCTAATGTGTTTTACTTCACATTACATATTATACGTTATCTGTTATTATAGTTTGTTAGTTTCTAACCACTACACTGCCATTGTTATTGTGCATGGCACTAGCATTGCTGGGAAAGCATAGGCATATTCAGACGTATACAGTGTTGTAATTACGTGGCTCTGTGGTGGCTCTCTAGCCCATGGAAAAGCAAACTGGTTCTTAGAAGGTTCACAAGCTGAACCAGCCCCAAAGTGGCTCTAGTACCAGCTCAGAACTAGCACTTGGTTTGTGTTGGTCTGTCACCATTCACTCACACACCAGTGGTGCTATTACACAAGGTTCAGTGTTGAGGTCCATCACAATGTTTTGTGTGGGACCATATGATGAAGAGGAAATTATTAAAAGTTTAATTTCAGAGCACTGGAGACCACTGCAGGGTTTATTTCTATTGAATGGATGGTAACATCAGGGAATCAGTCCGCTGACATTTGTGGTTTGAAGCTAATTGTCTCAAATCAGCTATTATATGGATTTTCATACCATTTGGTACACACATTCATGTTCCCAGAATGAATTTCATTCACTTTCACAATTCTTGTTCAGGAATGACACATACTCAACTTTTTACTTCCTAGAGCTGAAACATACCCAGTGGTTCATTCATAGCAGAATGCATTTTCTACTGTGAGTGGAGATATTACATCAAGGAATTACAAAAGGTCAAACTGATTCAACCTGAAAATCACAAAATTGTGTTGTCTGAGAAAATGTGATAATACAGTTTTTTTTAATCAAACAATACGCATAAAGATTTTGTGTAAGTTGTGTAATAGTGGATACTGTAACTGTAATACTAAACAAGTAAAAATGTATAAAGTGTTGTATATTACAGTGGATACTGCTGAACAGAAGGCCAGAGCACCAAAAAAATCCCTTCAGGTTTGATTTTTGGAAAATGAAATCCCCTGGTGAACAGAATTTAAAGGCCAGAGCACCAAAAAATCCCTTCAGGTTTGATTTTTGGAAAATAAAATCCCCTGCAAAGCTCCCACTGCACACATACACTAGTATTTGTATTTAAGTGTGAAAACCTTATGGAAGCACCACCTGAGCAGCTGTGCATGTGTGTGCATGTGTATTTTTTCATGGATTCTGGAGCACCACCATCTAATCAAGTCAAAGGAACCACTTTAGAGGATGAAAGAGTTTCTCCATCACACACACCAGCTGCTCAGGTGAGACAAAGTATTATTATGGGGCCTTTTGGTGTCAAAAGGATGTTTGTGTAAAACTAATCCTCTCTCAGATGGACCTGGAGGGAACCAGAGCACACAGAGACAGTAAAGCTATTCCAGTCAGAGAGCTGAAATTCAAATAAGACCTTACTGATCTACAAGGGGAAATTCACTTGTTGCCATATTTGTGTGTTGTCTACATTGTCCCCAAACCTCACATATCCACTTTCTCCTCACATATCCACACCTCCTCCTTGCCTGTAAACACAACCATGGGCAAAAATACCCTGATACTTGGAAATAACGCCTTTTCACGCGAGAACAGGTTTGTTTGTTTTATGGCTTTGTGTTGCCATCTAGTGAATGTCGAAGGGAAATGTCAGCTTCTCCCACAACAAATTGCGTCCCTAAATGATCAATATGAGATTAAAGTTATGTCATGTTAATATTTAATCTATATTGTGGATAACATTTGTTCATTTGTTTTGAGGTGTCCTTCGTTCATTAATTTTTTAAATTCATATAAAATACAGTCAACTAATTGCCAGTGGCAACTCTAGGAAACATTTTCATATTCTGTGCCTTTAATTGCCAAACAAATTGAACACGCTTTTATCTTATAACTTAAAAATCCAGAAGGGTATGTTACTTTTCATGACACACACTTCTTGGCTTCATTGAGTTCAATGCTCTTGCTTTTGACTGTATTTACTTTTATCCCCCATTACCTTGTATTGTATATAGGTTTAATTTCTTAGTATTAATATGACATAATTTAGTAAAAAAAAAAAATTTATTATCAGTTTTTTGCTGATGATAGAAATTTGAACCCCTGCTTTTTATATTATTGCATGGATATATATATTTTTTTTAATAGTTCCTTATTAGAAAGGGTAGATCTCAAGGGACCTGTTCTTAAGCTTAAATGTTGAAACTTTGGAGCTGGAGTTGGCTGGTCTCCCTCTGCACAGTTTGAATCATAGCTATAAATACCAGAAAAATGCACACAGTTTAAAAAGAATTTATTTCACATCCAAACATGCACAGTATTGGCCAGTAGATCTCTCCACCCAAGTTCCTTTAATGTACAGTGTATAGAACAATAAATACTGTAGCACCTTTACTGGTTGTGTTCATGTTGGACAGTGTCACTGTACTGTTGAGTAGTGGTAATCTCCATTACTTTGCCTTTAAGGACAAATCCAAGCTTATATGCATTTTATTCTTCAGTCAGGTTCACTGACAATATTACTATCTGCATGTTAGGCAGTAGAATCCTCAGCTATAATTGTGTTTATGGGTTTAAGGGGTGGAGGGACGTCAAAAAATGGTTCATCATCAAAACAGAAATCATCAGATGGTGATGCAAGGTACGGTAGTTTTAGAACAAAGCCAGTGAGGATGCCCCCTAGTGCAGACGCTCCTATGGTGGAGAACATAGCTGCGACCTGGAAGAGAGCCTGTTCTTTGGCAGTCCTCCCCAAGCCCGGCTGTAAACTGGGAATCAACATCTGCAGCTCTTTCAGTTTAGGGTCCCCTTTTACTGGTGCTCTGTTGGCAAAGAGGTCATACAAACTGGGACCATAAACCTCTTCATTAGCCATTAGTATAGCACATATCCCCGCAATGCAGGATATAAGTCCTGTTAGACCGTGCAGGTTATGTATTCCACATTGATCCTGGATCTTGAGGTGCCGAGCTAAGAAGGGGCTCAAATACTTGTAGCCCAGCATGCAAGCAGTACAGCCCATCATACCCAAGGCGTACGCAGCTGCAGGTGATATCATCATATCTACAGATGCCCCAACTGTCACGCCTCCAGCCAGGGTCACGTTCTGAACATCGGCCATGGTGATCTTACCATTTTTGTTCAGCATCACAGAGAGAGCAAAGGCTGTGAGCGTGGAGGCACTGAGGCCGATGAAGGTGTGGAGGATGGCTCTGTGCTGGTCATCTCCTTTTAGGGTTAAAGCTGAGTTGAAAGAGGGCCAGAACACCCAGAGAAACAAGGTTCCCATCACAGACAGGATGTCAGACTGGTAAGTGGTGTTCTCCTTTGCATGGTTTTTATTTAAATGAGGTCTATACAGTACAAAAGTGACGCCCAAGCCAAAATAACAGGCAAAGAGGTGAATGAGAATAGATCCCCCTGAATCATTGATCCTCAAATACTTCAGCACCGCCCATTCTGTGACTGCAAACACTGGCACCTCCAGCAGTGCCATAACCAATAGCTGCAATGGACTGGTTTTTCCCAGTACTGCACCAAAAGATATCAGCACCACCGCACATGCAAATTCTGCATTTATGAGATTGATCACTCCTAGGTGGATCTTGCCGTCATGGCAAAACTGGAAGTACCCTTGTACCAGAATGGCCCACTGGATGGCAAAAGTAGCCATGAGGAAGTTAAAAACCATCCCTCCAAAGCCATAGAGTCGAAAAAAAGCCAGTAGGCATCCAAAGCCGAGGAATATCATCACTTGTATATCAATAAAGAAAGGGTAGTCCTTGTACATGGCATTGTCCATTGGATTAGTCTTGTTAGTCTGAAATCTGGCATCAGTGTGCTCATCATAGGTGACAAAGGCAGCATACAGGGCAACAAAAATCACCTCTATGACAACCACAAACACAGGTAACTTCACGCGAAGGTTGGTTGACCGTGTCTTCATCCTGGTAGCCCTTTGGAGGGAATGACAGTAATTTTTTTAGCAGCCTGGTTTATATCTGTTTAGATAAGCCAGGTCAGACACTGGTCAAACCTGATCTCTCAAACACACAGAGAGAAACTGCATGGACTTTAACCACTGTAATCAATCAGCAGTTTCATTCATCAGCATTTTCATAGCTACAGTATTTTAAATGTTCATGTATCTGATATTAGAATCCATTTTCTGCCAGATGGGTAGATGTTATATAACAAAGTCTAAATTGCTTACATTAAAACATTAATATAC